ATTTCCGAACAGTATTACTGCTTTTTCTCATATCTTTTATACTTTTCTCTCTTATGTGTCTCTCTTTTGTTAAAGTAAAAAGTACCATAGTTGGTTCAACCAATCCCCTACTGATGACCATTTGCTATTTTCAGTCTTTTGCTATTAATATTACAAATAATGCTGTAATAAATAATCTACGCATACATCATTTTATTCTTTATCAGCTTCTGTGGAGGCTAGATTTCAGAAGTGGAATGGCTAAGCGAAAGAGTGAATGAACATGTACATTTTATAAATATCCAAAATTCATTCCACAGAGGTGCACCATTTTGCATTTCTATCAGCAATACTACAATCTCACCAATAAGATATACTGCCAAACGTTTCCCATTCTATTAAGGGATAAATTATACGTCTGTGTTATTTTAAATTGCACTGCTCTTATTTTGAGTAGTGAAGCATTTTTTCATAAAGACAACTTGTATCTCCATTTCAGTGAACTATCTCTTCACATATTTTGTCCATTTTCTTCTGCTGGATATTATTAAAAATGGAATTATTTTCTTAATTCCTTATGCTGATATACAGAAACACAACTCAATGGTTTGTTGCCATTGCACAGAAACACAATTTATTTTTATTATGTTCATCTTGTATCCTGTAAATGCTAAATTTGTTTATGAGCTGTAATAGCCTTTTTTGTTGATTCTTTGAAGTCATATATATATATATATCCAGTTTGGATGCCTATGATTTCCTTTTTTTACCTAATTGCTCTGGCTAGAACTTTCAGTACAATGCTGTATAGTGGTGGTAAACATATCCTTGCTTGTCTTGTTTCTGATCTTAGTGGGAAAGCTTTTAGTCCTTCACCCTTGAGCTGTGGGTTTTACCAAGTATCCTTCATTGAATACCTGTCTGTTGTTGTTTTTCTGATTGGTTTTTTTTTTTTCTCATGAAATGGTGTTGAACTTTGTTAAATGACTTGTCTGCATCAGTTGAGATGATCATGGTTTTTTTTTTCCTTCATTCATTAATATGGTATATAACATTTATTGATTTCTTATGTTGGACTTTCTTTTTATTTCAGAAGTAAATCCCACTGGGTCATCATGTATAATTCTTTTAATTTTTAAAATTAAGCTTGCTAGTATTTTGCTGAGATTTAAAAAAAAAAAATCTATATTCAGAAAGGATATTGATCTGTACTTTTCTTGTGGTATTTTTGTCTTGCTTTGGTATCTGAGTTACAGTGACAATATAGAATATATTAGAAATTGTTCTCTCCTCTTTTTAATTTTTTGGAACAGCTTGAGAAGTGTTGTTGTTACTCTTTCTTTAAACATTTAGCAGAATGAACTCTGTAAGTCTTCTGTTCCTGGACTTCACTTTGTTGGGAAGTTTTTGGTTACTGACTTAATCTCATTATTTCTTAAACGTCTGCTAAAATTTCTATTTGTTCTTAAGTCTGTTTCATAATTGAATTTTTCTACAAAAAGTTTTCATTTTATCTAGGTTATATAATTCATTGGCATACAATTATTTGTAGTATTCGCTTACAATCTACTCTATTTCTGTAAGGCCTGTTGCAATGTCTCCATTTTCATGACTAATTTGAGTCATTTATATAGTCTCTCTTTTTTTCTCTTTGTCTAGCTAAAGATTTGTGCATTTTGTAACCTTTTCAAAGAGATTACTTTTGTTTTCATTGATTTTTCTCTACTGTTTTTCTATTCTTTATTCATTTTTCTCTATTCTAATATTTATTATTTTCTTCCCTCTGTTAGCTTTGTGTTTAGCTTGTTCTTTTTTGTTCAAGTTCCTTAAGGCATAAAGTTAGGTTCTGAATTTGAGATTTTTCTTCTCCACATACCACTTCCCCACACAGGCCCATAGCCTCACCAACATCAATATCTCGCACACCAGTATGGTATATTTCTTACAATCAATGCAGTAACATTAGCACATTATTATCAATCCAGTTCATAGTTTACCTTATAGTTCAGACTTTCTGTTGTATGTTCAAAAATGTTTCAAAATGTATAAGGAAATGTATTCACCATCACAACATCATACAGAATCACTAAACTAAAAATGCACTGTGCTCTTCTTAGTCATCATTTCCTCACTTCCCCACATCCCTGGCAACCACTATATTTTTTCCTTTCTCCACAGCTTGGCCTTTCCAGAATGGTTTGCCATCGTTTGTGTTCATTTTCTTCACTATTACCTTCTTTGTGTTTAATTGTTTTTAATTAGGAAAGGTAGCTTTATAAAAGGAAGATACATTGTGAAAGCACAACAGGCAAGAGGGTCTGCTGTCTGCTACCTTTTTTGTTTGTTTTGTGCCACACTTAATCTTTTCTCATTCCTCTTGTGTATATTTTAATATGGCTTCTTAGTAGTGGTTGCCATTGTGATTACAACTGGCACCTTAAATTGGCAACAATCTACTTTGGATTGATACCAAGTTAACATCTCTGTTTCCATAAAGCTTCAATCTACTTTGGATTGATACCAAGTTAGCATCTCTGTTTCCATAAAGCTTTGTCTCCCTTTTGTTTTGTTGCAAATCAAATCTTTATACATTGTGTGTCCACTAACATAAATTTATTATTATTATTTTATAAATTTTTCTTTTAAATAATATAGTTTTTTTAAGTATTACAAAGCAAAAACAGAGTAATACTGGCTTTTTATAATTATCTAATGTATTTATATTTACCAGAGTTCTTTATTTCTTTTTAAGGCTTTGAGGTGCTGTCACATGTTCTTTAGCATTTCTTATACAACAGGTGTACTAGCAACAAATACCTTCAGATTTTATTAAGCTGGGAACATAATAATTTCTCCTTTATTTTTGAAAGATAGTTTTGCTGGATATATGATTTGGTTGACAGATTGCTTTTCTTTCAGCCCTTTAAAAATATCATCCCACCCCTTTCTGGCCTCATGGTGTCTGGTGACAAATTGGCTATTTTGTTGTAGATCCCTGGATGTGACAAAACACTTCATACTTGCTGCTTTATAGATTCTTTCTTTGACTTTGGTTTTTGAAAACTACATTATATTTCTCAATGTGGATCTCTTTGCATGTATCCTTTTCAGAGTTTGTTGAGTTATATGCTGTAAACATGTATGTCCTTAATCAAATTTGGAGAGTTTGGGTCATTATTTCTTTAAATATTCTCTCTGCCATTTTTCCTTTCTCTTTCTTTTTTCTTTTATTTTTTGTTGTTGTTACTCTCATTATATGTATTTTGGTGTACTTGATGATGTCCCAGAGGCCCCTTAGTCTCTGTTTATTTTTCTTGATCCTTGTTTTTTGTTATTGGTGGTGGTATTCTTTTTTATACTTGAACATTTCAATTGACCTGTTTTCTAATTCTATGATTCTTTATTTTGCCTGATCAAATATACTATTAAAACCTTTCAGAGAGGCTTTTGTTTGTTACTATAATTTTCAACTCCAGAATTTCTTCCTGTTGGTTTTTTTGTTACTTCTATCTCTTTATTGATAATCTTTGTTCACATATCATTCTCTTGATTGTCCTTATTCTTACTCTTTGTCCATAATTTCCTTTAACAGTTTGAGCATACTTAAGACAAATGATTTATTTATTTTTTATTTTTATTTTTTTTGAGTTGAAGTCTCACTCTGTCACCCAGACTGGAGTGCAGTGGCCACTCCCGGCCACCGCAGCCTCGACCTGTGGGTTCCAGCAATCCTTCCGCCTCAGCCTTCCAAGTAGCCGAAATTACAGGCATGCGCTACCATGCCTGGCTGATTTTTTGATTTATTGTAGAGATGAGATCTCGCTGCCCAGGTGGGTCTCAAACCTGCGGACTCAGGCAATCCACTCACCTCAGCCTCCTAAAGGCATGGGATTACAGGCTGAGCCACTAAGCCCGGCAAGAAAAATGATTTAAAGTTCTTTCTTTTAGTAAGTCCAACAGCTGTGCTTCCTCAGAGACAGTTTCTGTTAGTTTCTTCTGTGAATGAGTCATATTTTTCCATGTTCCATAATTTTATTGAAAATTGGACTGCTTGTGCTGCACCTGAAGGTCAGTCAAATCTAAAAGGTCAGGGCCTTCTTAGCCTGTGTCTAGATCCAAGCCAAGCAAGCAGCTTTCCAAATATTCCAGCATACATGAGCATTTTTTAAATGCTCTGGTTTTTCAAAGAAAATTTCTCTGCCATTTTCCCTATTTTCATAACTTTACTATAAATTTGAACTTATTTCAATTTTTTTAAAAGTCAAAGTCTCACTCTATTGCCCAGACTGGAAGACAGTGGGCACAATCATGAATCACTGCAGTCTCAGCTTCCTCCTCTGCCTCCTGGAAGGCAGTGGGTTCAGGTGATCCTTCCACTTCAGCCTCCAAGTGCTAGGATTACAGGCATGATCTACCACATCCAGTCTCAAGATAAAATTTACAATAAAAGAGTATAGATTTTAAGGACAAAAAGTTCTGGATTCAAGTTCTGCAACTTGCTTACTGTGTGATCTTGTACAAGTTACTTTCACTGAACTTCAATGTTCTTATCTATAAGATGAAGATCATAATATCTACTTTGTAGAAGTATAAGTTTTAGGAGTAACGTGAACTTGACACGTAATGGGTGCTTAATACATGGGAACTAATACATGGGAACTAATATCATTGTTACTCATCCTATTGAGCTTATGTTAAATGAAAAATCAGCCTAGTGTTAGATTTGGCACAGGGCCAAAGATTGCAAACTTAAAAAGAGGATAAACCTAAATCCCACTTCTTTTATCATGCTAAGTAATGGAAAAAGAACTATAATTGTTTTGAATCTGAGTATCTCTTTAAACTGCAGATAAACTAGGACAGACACGTTTAGAGATATAATGTAGATATGTTCCTGGGAAGGCTTTATTGCAATAGAAAAGACCCTCTTAGTACCATGGGGACTAACCAATGTTGGGAAACTTAAAGCAAAAATAATTGATAATACAACAGGATATTTTCATTAAAAATGTCTAGCATACCTTAAGATTAAGTGCATTTCTTCCATATATTTGACAGTTTACTATGGCCAGGTCGGTCATGGCTGTTATTGTTTCATATTGTGTTACTGAAACAGTCTTAAAACCTTCACCATGTAAAACATGTCCTTCTGATTCTTTTTTTGCGGGATCTAAATAAATAAAACATAATATAAAACTTAAATATGTTTTCAATTAGAAATAAAGTTAAAAGGTATCTGTTAGGATAAGATTGAGTGTCTCTAAGGGGTTAGCAGTACCTACCTCCTCCAGAAGAGATTCCCATAGGCTTCATCCACCCAGTCTCACTTGGTTCTATTTCTCAGTGGGTATTATTTTGTTTTTTAATATTAAATAGCACAATTGCCTTTTAAAAAGAAAACCATATTGATAAGGATTTTTCAGGTTAGCCTGTTTTTCGAGAATATCGGCTTCAATGGGTTGGCCAGCCGAGCCCCAGAGAGGTTCAGTTTCAGGGGCTGGTAAGCCTAGCCCCCAGAATGTTGGCTATAATTGGTTGGCAAGCCAAACCCTGAGAGTGTTGCTGATTTGGCAGGCTGACAAGCCTAGCCCCTGGAGTGTCTCAGCTTCAGAGTCTCGCCTTCTTCCAGGAGCTTTCCTAATTCTGCCAGCTTGGTAGGCTGGCAAGCCACCGCTCTTCAGCTCCGAATATACTCTGCAGCTTTTCAGGTCAGGCTTCTTGTCTTATGCCCAGGAGGAATGAGGGACATGGATGGTCAGAATGAGGGACACGGATAGCCAGAAAATGAGAAAGCAGGATTTACTGAGAGGCCACAGTGGAAGGGGACCCAAAGGGGTTACCAGTCAGGGGCCAAAACCTTATGTACCCTTAAGATCAAACCAGTTGACTAGCACTAGCTGTTAGCTGATTGGTCAGCACTAGCTATGCTGATTGGTCAGTACTAAGGGCCAACTGGCAGGAGGTAGAGGTCAATCTGATAGGTTGGTATTTGGCAGCAAGTTGGTTGTTTTTCCATCCCAGCAGTGAGTACTTCTTGAGAGGTTTGTAGGGAGCTTGTTTTCCAATGAGAGTTATCAGCCTGAGGGACCTACTAGGAGTGTGCTACATTGTTACCAGGGAACCTGCCCTGTCTGTCTGCCTGGCCTTTAGCTATCTCCTCTCTCAATACACTCATGGGTTTCTAGCTGGATAATTTAGATTCCCTCATTCTCAGTTTTGTGTAGTATATGTGAACGTATTTTTTAAAATATTACTATGAATCACATAAACAACTTTTTGGCACAAAAATTTAATAATGGACATCATATAAACACGACTCAACATCAGCCTAACCTTTTCCCTAATATTACCTTGATGTATGATACAAAAGACATATGTCATTTAACTCTTCCCTCAGTTTATAGATCTCCCACAGGAAACAAACAAACAACTCAATAATAAGTTAAACAAAGACCATTTAAATTTAAATTTACTTTATCATGACTCATGTGGGGTTTGCCTTCCATCAAAAATGTCCTATGCAAGATATACACCAAAGTATGGCAGGAAAATATTTTGAAATTTTATGTAATATATTTTACATTCCCAGCAATTATTGCTGTATTACTTGAAGAAACATATTTTAAAATATCAATATTCTTGTGACATTGCTTCAATGAGAGGTAATAATGTATCCCAGGACAAAGAAAATATTCAGTTTTTAATTTCCAAAAAAGACCTTCTCTGCCTATTTCAGATCAAGAGATACTAAAATTAATCAAAGAATAAAGAAAGATGTATAATGTGTTATGGAGGCTCCTTGTTCTGGAAAAGGGAAAGGAACAAAAGGAAGGAGAGTTAAGACATACTGTGGCCTTCTCCCTGTGGCCTGCTCCCTGATGACCCACACCCTCAGAATCTAAGCCCAAGCAAGTGGTTTTTGAGTGGAGAAAAGGAAGTGGAGGGGAGTGGTTAGAAATTCCCCAATAGATTTCTGAAGACTCTGAGGACTCTTCAACTCACTTGAAATTTACCAAGGAGGAAACCACCAAAAAGAAAGAAATCAAATAAAGCAGAAATGGCTACATGATTTACTTATGACAGGGAGGAGGTCCACAAGCTAATTTATGTCACAGATGAGGATGTATAAATACTGGGAAAAATAGTGGGCTATGGTTGGAGTGTTCTGTTGTGTATAATTTTTATTCAGTACAACTACTGAATTATTAATTTGTTCTTTTATTTTTGTCCATTCTAGAATTTTATTTGACTATTATTTTTCAAAACAAAAATACCAATTTTCTAGTGCAATTATTCTATGTTCTCTTTATTGTCTTGGACATAGTAATTCTAATTATTTTAAAATATGTTTGAAATGCAAATATCTGAATGAAATATGGGACTGTTTCTATTGTCTGTTTCTTCCATCTCTACTGGTTTTTACACATTTTATCTTGCTTTTTGTTTTCAGAATTCCATGTGATTTTTAAATTCAATATGGGACTTTGAAGATGAACAATTTTAAGGGGTCACAAAACGTTTTCTCTAACAAGTGTTATGTTTTCTTTGATTAGGCAGAAGGCATCACTTTGATTTATCAAAAATTGGTTTTGAGCTTTGTTTGAAGGCTCAGCTCTTTCAGTTTTGTCCTTTTTCTTAGAACATCATTCTTATACTTAAGGCAAGGGACCTCTGTGTGTTTACAAAGGCCCCAACATTTTGCAGAGCTTGAATTCTATTATCTGTCTCTTGTACAACTGCAAAAACTTGTGCTCAATTTCTTATCTATTCAGCTGATGTTTTCTGCTGTGTTTCTCAGTGTCTTATACTGCACCTGCACAGCCTAGAAACCAGCCAGCACCCTTTAAAAATTTGTATGCAGATCTTTTTTTCACCTTTAAATTTTTTATTTAAAAATTTTAAAATGTGTATACCTAATAATTCAGGGTTAGGTATATAAACATTCATTGTGCAGGTACGCTTGTTGATGAGGTATGTCCCCCCTTTCCCAGGCAGTTTCCCACTACTGCCAATTCCACCTCCTCACTGCCCCATACCCCTGCTGTTTCCTGCCACTGTCAATCCTTTTCTTATAGTATTACGATAGTTGTTCAAGGTTTACTTATGAGTGAGAACATGTGATATTCAGTTCTTTGTATCTGTGAAAGATCACCCAGAATTATAGACTCTAAGTCCATCCAGGTTGCTGTGAAATTCATGATTTTTGTTCTTCTTTATGGCTGTATAATATTCCATTGTGTATATGTACCACATTTTTTTATCCAGTCCTGTTGATAGGCAGCACAGTTAGTTCCATGTTCTTGCTATTGTGAACAATGTGCAGATCTTTTTTAAAAAAACATGGGGTCTTAGCCAGACTCAGTGGCTCAGCCTGTAATCCTGCACTTTGGGAGGCTGAGGTGAATGGATTGCCTGAGCCCTTGGGTTTGAGACCCACCTGGGCAACTTGGCGAGACCTCGTCTCCACAATAAATAAAAAATTAGCCAGGTGTGGTAGCGCACACCTGTAGTTTCAGCTACTTGGAAGGCTGAGGTGGAAGGATCACCAGAGCCCATCAGGTCGAGGCTGCAGTGGCCAGGAGCAGCGACTGCACTCCAGTCTGGGTGACAGAGTGAGACTCCAACTCAAAAACAAAACAAAACAAAAAAACAAAAACAAAAACCAAAAAAAACATGGGGTCTTGCTATGTTGCCCAGGTTGGTTTCAACTTGTGTGCTCAAGTCATCTTCCCATCTCATCCTCCCAAGTAGTATATGCCTGTAGTGTCTGGCTTGTATGCAGAACTCTTTAGTCACTTCCCTTTATTCTTTACTTTCCAAGATTGTGTCTCTCAAGTTGCAATGATGTTGGCAGCTCTGAAATCATGTCCTAAATCCATTAAAACTACCAATTTCTACTTACGACCTATCTTTCTATATCACAAATGCCCTCAGGCAAAAGTCAAGATAAAGGCAGAGTTACCCTTCTTTCCAGAATTGTACCCATTCAAGTCACACCTGCATTGGTTACTGTCCAATTCCTTCAATAGCTACTTTATATAATTCTGGCAGCTTTCATAGTTGACTTTAATAAGAAGTCTAGCCCAATGCAAGTTATTCAATCTTGAACAGAACCAAAAGTCATCAGGTTGTTTTAAAATCCATGTCTGAGTGGGACACTCAGCAAGATGATGACAGGACAAGTTGAACAGTGACGATCTCCACAAAGGTGACTCCTGAAGGCAATTCTATGTGCCCCCACAGCTGCCGCCTACACGGCGGGGGCGGGGAGCTGCCATAGCCAGTCCCATGCAGCAAACAGCCTCTGTCTCACTATGACCTCTGCAAGGAACTACTGCTATTTGCTACCAGGTGCTGAACAGCTGCTGACACTGTGGCTCTCGGCTCTGGCCAGGGGAATTCCCAGCTCCCTCCTCCACCCCAAGCCACCGACGGCAGACCAAATGCGGCACCCAGCCATATTGCTGGTTGCCAGTGCCTGACTCCAGACACACATCATTGCCCTTCATAGTGGATCATCTACAGACCCAGACGAGTGGAGAGAAAGGATGAGTCGACAGAAGGGATCAACAAAAGAGGAGCCGTCCACCGCAGCCATTTTCCAGGCAGACATTTGCATTGCACTGCCCATCTCCAAGCAGCCTCCACCTTGTTTCTAAGGTAACATGCCAAAGCAGGAGACAGAAGCCCCTCCCCTACACAGAATCAGACACAGACAACTCAGTCCTCAGGCAGTAAGGCAGCAAGCCAAGGGAACCGACCCCAATCTATGAGTAAATCTATCTGCCTGTAATGAGAACAAAGGGGAGGGGCTAGAGATCAGAGCTGAAGAGACTTTAGACACTCAGAAAAGACTCCGGAGCTAGTCTGTTTCTTATTGTGATTTTTGATTATATTGTTCTGACTGTTTGTGTTGTTCACTTTTGTTTGTTTTTTACTTTAGACTACCTGTTTGTGTTGGGGAAAACACACCAAAGGGCATGATTTTATTGGACTGTCTTTGTGTGATTACCACTATGCTTTGGGGAATTTTGTCTGTTTGTTTGTTTTTTACTCATTTCTGGCCTTGTGTCTCTTTTCATTCATTAGTTGGTATGTCTGTCTGTTTTCCCTCTTACTCTTCTCTCTCTCCAACTTCCTCTTGAACTCCCTCACTTCTTCCATTATTTTCCTCTTTCTTACCTCCTTTTGTTCCAGAGAGCAAACCTAAACCCCACTGCATGGACAGATTGTAAGGCAGTGGGAAGTGGGTTCCAGTGTGCCCATACACCTGTTGGTGAATATGGAAACTGCAGATAGATTCTGAATCACAGCTTCCTCCTCAATTAAACCTCAATTGTAAAAAGTACAGCTCCCAACCCACAGTCCAGCCTCAAAAGCGAATAAAGCCAGAGGACCCTCATAAGGAAGAACAGGAGACTGAACAAAAAGAAGTAAAAGCAACCCCACCTTCCCTGAAAAACGGAATCTAAGAAGGGGAGGAAAAGGGGAAGAGAAAAATCTACAAAAATGGAGAAAAACCAAAAGAGCATATGAGTCTCTCACAGACCCCTGAGAGGTCAGACACTGAGAAAACTGACTTTGGAATGCAAACAATGAAGAGCCCCCAGAATGACTGGTCTCAAACTACAAACACAGATATCAAGACATTAATGGAGAGATTAAAAAGAATTGAGGGCCAGGTTCAGTGGTTCAGCCTGTAATCCCAGCACTTTGGGAGGCTGAGGCAAGTGGAATGCCTGAGCCTGTGGGTTCGATACCCACCTTAGCAACTTGGCGCGACCTCGTCTCTACAATAAATCAAAAACTAGCCGGGCATGGTAGCATGTGCCTGTAGTTCCAGTTACCTGGAAGGCTGGGGCGGAAGGATCACCGGAGCCCAGCAGGTGGAGGCTACAGTAGCTGGGAGCGTGCCACTGCACTCCAGTCTGGGCTACAGAGTGAAACTCCAACTCAAAAAAAAAAAGAATTGAGGAGAGACAAGAGGAAACTAGGAAGGAGTTGATAACTGAGATAACAGTGGTAAAGAATACTGTGAATGAAATAAATAACAAACTGATAAGCATGGAAAACAGAATTAGCTAAGCAAAAGAAAGAATCTCAGAGCTTGAGGACCAAAATATAGAACTAACACAAACTGTCAACAACATAGAAAAGACGCTTTAAAAGACAGAACAAAACCTTCAAGAGATGAGCGATTACTTCGAAAGGCCAAACCTAACAGTAATTGAACTTCCTGAGGAAAAAAGAGAAACAGAGATCACCCTGGAACAAACATTCAATGAAATTATTCAAGAAAATTTCCCTCATCTCATCAGTGGTATGAAAATTCAAACACAAGAGATTCAGAGAACCCCTGCAAGACTACAAATAAGAAAACCAACTCCCAGATATAATAATTCGCCTAAACAAAGTAGGTATAAAAGAAAATCCTAAAGGCAGCAAGAGAAAAATACCAGATCACCTACCATGGAAGACCAATTAGAACAGCAGCAGATTTATCTACAGAAACCCTTCAGGCTAGAAGAGCTTGGAGCCCTACCTTCAAAGTTCTAAAAGATAAAAAAATTCAACAAAAAATAACCTACCCAGCCAAGCTAAGCTTCACTAGTAAGGGAGAATTAAAATCTTTCCCAGATATCCAATCCCTAAGAACTTACACTGCCACCAGACCACCTCTATGAGAAACACTTAAGAAAGTATTAAACACAGAAGAAAAGGAAAAAAGAACAACAACGTTCTTCACAAGAGTACAGGAAAAAGATTAAAAACACACACGAACCAACCCCCAAACCAAAAGAAAGACAACAAACAAACAGGAACAACAACAACAACTCTATAAGAACCTTATGAGAGGTATCAACTCTCACATTTCAATAATAGCCTGAATGTGAATGAACTAAATGCACCACTGAAAAGATATAGAATGGCAAAGTGGATAAAATATCACCAGGCAACAATATATTCCCTCCAAGAGATTCATTTAACTAGAAAGGACAACAATAGACTCAAAGTAAGAGGATGGGAAAATTTAAAAGATACAGAAGGCCACTACATAATGATAAAAGGTTCAATCCATCAACAAGAAATATCCATCCTAAACATATATGCACCCAACATAGGAGTGCTAACTTTCATAAATCAGCTTCTAGGTAAACTCAAAAAAGATATTGACTCTAACACTGTCATAGTTGGGGACTTTTAATACCCCACTCACAACCCTAGACAGATCATCAGGACAAAAAAATCAGCAATGAGATCCTGAACCTCAATGTGACTCTTGACCAAATGGACTTAATGGATACCTACAGAACACTCCACCCAGTGACCACAGAATATAAACTCTACTCATCACCGCATGGAACGTACTCTAAGATCGACCACATACTTGGCCATAAATCAAGCATAAACAAATTTCAAAAGATCGAAATTTTGCCATGCACCTTCTCAGATCACAGTGGAATAAAAATAAACATCAACACCAACAAGTTTCCCCCAAAATCCACAAAGACATGGACACTATACAGCATGAAGCTAAACAACTCCTGGGTCAATGATGAACAGAGATTAAAAGATACCTGGAAACAAATGAAAATGAAGAAACATCTTAACAAAATATCTGGGATGCCATGAAAGCTGTAGTAAGAGGGGAATTCATATCTCTACAAAAGCACGTGAAGAAAATGGAAGGATCACAAAGTAACAGCCTAACAAGTCACCTAAGGAAGCTGGAAAAGCAAGACCACCATAACCCAAACTTCAGCAGAAGAATCCAGATCACCAAAATAAAAACCCAAATCCAGGACATAGAAGAAAAAAAGATAATACAAAAAATCAACAAAACAAAAGGCTGGCGCTTTGAAAGGATAAACAAGATCGGTGGTCCCCTAGCTAGACAGACCAAGAAAAAGAGAGAAAAAGCCCAAATAAACACAATCAGAAACACAAAAGATGAAGTCACATCTGACCCTGAAGAAATACAAAAGATCATTAGAGACTACTATGTACACTTGTATGGAAACAAACGTGAAAACGTTAAGGAAATGGAGAACTTTATGACATCACACAACCTACCTAGGTTGAAACAAGAAGAAATCAAGACCCTAAATAGACCAATAACAATCAAGGAAATTGACTATGTAATAAGAAAACTACCTACAAAAAAAAAACCCTGGACCAGATGGCTTTCCAGCAGAATTCTATAAGACATTTAAGGAGGAACTGATACCAATCCTACTGAAAGTATTCCAGGCGATTGAGAAAGATGGAACTCTCCCCAAATCATTTTATGAAGCTAACATCACATTAATACCCAAGCCACGAAAAGACCCAACAAATAAAGAGAACTACAGGCCAATATCCTTGATGAACACAGATGCTAAATTTCTCAACAAGATCCTAGCAAAACAGATTCAACAATACATCTCAAATCATCCATCATGACCAAGTAGGCTTCATCCCTGGGATGCTGGGTTGGTTCAACATTTGTCAGACCATAAACGTATTTAAATACATCAACAGACGTCAAAACAAAAACCACATGATTATATCATTAGATGCAGAAAAAGTTTTTGATAAAGTCCCGCACCTCTTCCTGATAAAAACCCTTGAACATCTAGACATACGTGGAACATACCTCAAAATAGTAAAAACCATCTACAAGAAACCCACAGCCAGCACACTCCTAAACAGACAAAAATTGGAACCATTTCCCCTGAAAACTGGAACAAGACAAGGATGCCCACTCTCACCCCTCCTGTTCAATATAGTATTGGAAGTCCTGGCTACAGCAATCAGAGAAGAGAAGGCAATCAGGGTATCCAAATAGGAAAAGAGGAAGTCAAGTTATCTCTCTTTGCAGATGACATAATTGTATACCTTGAAAACCCAAGAGAATCTGTCAAAAACCTCCTTGTACTGATAAAGGACTTTGGCAAAGTCTCAGGGTATAAAATAAATGTGCAAAAGACAATCGCATTTCTTTACACCAATAATAAACAAACAGAAACCCAAATAAAACACACAATCCCATTCACAATAGCCACAAAAAAGATGAAATACGTTGACATCTTCCTAACCAAAGACATGAAAGACCTTCACAATGAAAACTACAAAACACTGCTCAAAGAAATCAAAGATGACACAAACAAGTGGAAAAGTATCCCATGTTCATGGATTGGAAGAATCAACATTGTGAAGATGTCCATCTTACCTAAGGCAATCTACAGATTTAATGCAATACCCATCAAATTACCAGCAACATTCTTCTCAGATCTAGAAAAAAACTATACAGGAGTTCATATGGAAACACAAACAACCAAGAATAGCCAGAACAATCCTCAGGAAAAAAAAACAAAAAAGGAGGTGTCACACTACCAGACTTTAAACTTTACTATAAAACTACAATAATCAAAACTATTGGTACATGAACAGACATATAGACCAATGGAATAGAATTGAGATTCCAGAAGCAAAACCTCAATTTCTCAACCAACTCATCTTCAACAAAGCCTCCACCACTCACCACTTGGGAGAGGAGAACTTATTCAGTAAATGGTGCTGAGAAAATTGGCTAACCACATGCAGAAGATTGAAACAGGACCCCTGTCTTTCCCCATACACAAAAATTAACTCTAAATGGATCAGAGACCTAAATGTAAAACCAGAACCATTAGAACTTTAGAAAATGCAGGACACACCCTTATGGAAGTTGGAACTGGCATCCAATTCCGGAGCAAAACCCGAAGTGGCCAGGCCATACGAGATAAGGTAAATAAGTGGGACCTCATTAAACTGACAAGCTTCTGCAAAGCCAAAGAAACCATCAAGAGAGCAGGGAGACAGCCCACAGACTGGGAAAAAGTTATTTGCTAACTCAATGTCTGACAAAGGCCTAACATCTTGGATCTACAAGGAACTCAAATGTGCTGAAAAGAAAAAAACAAACAACCCCATTACAAAGTGGGCAAAAGACATAAACAGACACTTCTCAAAAGAAGACATATGAGCGGCCAACAGATACATGAAGAAATGTTCAACCTTCACTAGTCATCAAGGAGATGCAAATTAAAACTACACTGAGATACCGCCTAACTCCAGTCAGGATGGCCATTATTAAAAACAAAAAATAACAGATGCTGGAGAGGATGTGGTAAAAAGGGAACACTTCTACACTGTTGCTGGGGGTGTAAACTAGTACAGCCACTGTGGAAATCAATGTGGCGATTCCTAAAAGCTCTAAAAATAGACCTTCAATATAACCCTGCAATCCCCCTACTGGGAATATACCCTGAAGAACTCAAATCACTCTATAAAAAAGATACCTGCACAT